CCCCAAAACCCCAAAACCCCAAAACCCCATAGTGCTCTAATTTGCTAATCTTTAGAATAATTTACGAAGACTTATTGATATGCATAAATTATATGTTTAAAAAATTACTAAGTAAAACTAAAGAAAATTATATCTTGTTATTCTGACTCACAATCTTTCATGCTATTTCTAACTCACAATCTTTCTTGCTCATCTTGATATTGCTTCATAAAATTTCTAAGTTTCTCTGCTCCTTCTAGAGGCATAGCATTGTACATATTAACTCTACATCCTCCATATTTGTCATGTCCATACAAAAAGAGGAAACCAGCCTCATCAGCTGCCTTCAGGAATTTGTCATCTTCCTCCTTCGATTTAAGAGTAAACTGACAGTTTATTCTGCTTCTATGCTTCGGATTAACCTTATTTTTGTAGAATCCATTTGAGCTATCAAATACATCATAGATTAACTTAGATCTTTGTTTAGCCAAATCATCATAAAACTCTAAACCAAATTTTTTCAAATGCTTCAAGGTTAGTCCGCACAAATATAGGGCAAAGACATTTGGAGTATTATAGAATCCACCACAGTTGTGTTAGGTTTCCCAATCGCACATAATGGGAGTATCATCTCTTTTTCTCCCAAGTAGATCTTTGTTTACAATCAATGAAGTAATGCCAGATGGGCCAAGGTTTTTTTGTGCAGATGAAATCGCTACATCTACTCGATCCCAATCGATAGGCTTGGTTAAGTAACTCGAAGTCATATCACAAACAACTGGTACTCCCTCTGTGACAATTGGTGTGTGATACTCCACTCCATGAACTGTCTCATTATCACAATAGTAAACGTACTTTGAGTCCTTGTGAATATTTAACTCTTCTGTCTCTGGTAAAGTGAAAAGATATTCTTCTTATTAAGGCTTCCACGCAGGAGCTACGTTAATAAACTTTCTAGCCTCTTTAGCAGCTTCCATACTCCAGTGACCTGTCTCAACGTAAGTTGCTGTGTTCTCTCGGCTTCCACCAATATTGAAAGGCACAGATGTGAATTGGAGGAATGCTCCAGATTATGTCCACAGCACTGCATAATTATCTGGCAAATTTACCAAATCTCTTAAGTCTTTTTCGCATTCTTTTGCTAATTAACTAAACTCTTTTGACCTCGTTGACATCTCTACTATACTGTAACCTTATCCTTAATAGTTTAAGAACTCTTCTTAAACTTGTTTTAGAACTTCCTTTGGGAGGCAGGCTGGTCCTGATGCAAAATTGAATATTTCTTTGTCTATCATAAGAATTTAAGATTATAATCGTTTTTTCTTGTTATTATTTTATCTTGAGCAAAATTTGGAGCTTTGGGGTTTTGGGGTTTTGGGGTTTTGGGGTTTTGGGG